GAAAGGTCAGTTCAAGAGAATGTTTGCATATTAATTAGGAGCATTAAACCTATATTACTGTATATACTTGGTTACTTGCTACTCTTTGTTGATAAATGGTAATTTATGGCCCTGGTTCAAGTTCAATAACACATCCAGGAGGGCATCATTTGACTTTTGCCTTTTGTTTGTTTCAGTCTGAGATAACTGCAAAAATGAAAGCTGAGATGAAGGAAAAGACTATGAGAGACTTTCTTCTCTCGCAGAAACACATTGTGTACACTGAGCCTCTCGAAGTACGTGCAGGAACCACCGTGGATGTTCTATACAATCCGTCTAACACGGTGCTGAACGGAAAGCCAGAGGTTTGGTTCAGATGTTCCTTTAATCGTTGGACTCATCCAAGTGGTCCTTTGCCGCCACAGAAGATGGTGAATGCGGAGAATGGTTCACACTTAAGAGCAACAGGTGTGTGTCCTTGTTGGGGGTCTTTTTTCTGATTGCATTTTTCATACTAATACCTCAATTAAAAGGTCATTAGACTTCTTCGAGACTAGTTCAAACTACTCTTCCTCTCTTACTATGGTTACCAGAAAGAATCTAATAAGCATGCAAACCTGATAAAGCAGGAGTTACCTTTTTTCAAACATACTAAATTTGTGTAAAAATCTAATCCCACTTGTTTTCACCGCATGCTTTTGAAATTTTTTGAATAATATGTCAATATTAATGATATTCCCAATGACTTTTAGTCCCAAAGCAACCTTGGGTAGGAATGTAGGATCGACATGAAACCCAAGTGGAGCCACACAAGAAAATGAAGATAATAATGATAATATATAAAAAGTAATATTGTACTACTAATAAGAGGTGGTAGGAGCTGTAGGAAAAGAAATTTGGCTTCTTTGTCATGGTTCTCTCTCTGTCTCTCTGTCTCTCTTTCTCTCTCTCTCTCTCAGATGCACACACACATTTTTGTATGATGATGTTGTTTGACTTTATTTCCTTTGCTTGACGTGATCTGTTCTTTTTTCTAGTTAGGGTTCCTTTGGATGCATATATGATGGACTTTGTTTTCTCTGAGTCGGAAGAAGGTGGAATATATGACAACAGGAATGGCATGGACTATCATAGTCCTGTGACTGATTCCGTTGCAAAAGAACCTCCTATGCATATTGTGCACATTGCAGTAGAAATGGCTCCTATTGCAAAGGTAAAGACACCTTTTACCAATTCTTTTGGACCACAGAAAGTGCTGAGGTACTAAAAAATGATCTGTCACAGGTTGGGGGTCTTGGTGATGTTGTTACAAGTCTTTCACGAGCCGTTCAAGATTTAGGCCACAATGTTGAGGTTATTCTTCCCAAGTATGACTGTTTAAACCTAAGCAATGTAAGGCATCCTGGCGTCTTCCTTTTCGGTTGCATTCTTTTCAGTGTTTCAATGGAATTCTATGGAAATGCTATGTATATGCACAGTGCAGATGGTTTCTTTCTTGTTTTATCTAATATATGTAGCTCTGGGGTTTTGTGGAATCTTAAAGATACTGGCAAAAACAAAGTGCAAATATCAAATCAACTGTAAGTGCTGGAGCAATAGGTGGTTCAATGGTTGCAACTAGTCCCTCTAAACACTTTAAATTCTGTGGTTTTCACTTTTCACTTTTGAAAGAGCACTGAAGCATTTCTCGTGAAATCAACTATAGTCCATGCTTTTATTTTTACGATCATTTGCTTCCTTCGCTGGTGAGAGTGTGAACATCGCTGTTTGTGGGGGCTTTTTTCTCATTAATTTACTTGTCTTTTGGTTCAGGTGAAAGATTTACATTACCGTCAAAGTTTTACTTGGGGTAATACAGAGATAAAAGTATGGTTTGGAAAAGTTGAAGACGTCCCTGTTTACTTCTTGGAACCACAGAATGGGTATACAGCACCTTACCTTATTACACACGTGTAGACCATTCTTGATCACTCCATCGTTTTTTAATATATGATATTGTTGACTTTTGGTCATATGTTTGACCATTTGTTTTATTTGATTTTTCTTTTTTGCAAATAGAAGTCATGGTTAAAGTACCTTTAATGACAAAACAAGTCACAACAAAATAAATGATAGTCGCATATATTTTTTCAAATAAAATGAATGGTTAAACATATGTCTAAAAGTCAACGGCATCATATATTAAAAAACGGAGGGTGTACATAATTCTTTTTCCTTCTGTCAATGCACCCTTATTTATGATAAGTAATCTATTACCTTGTCTTTTAGCATAAAATAAGGTTTGTTCTGACATTTTTATTTGCAGGATGTTTTGGGTTGGATGTGTCTATGGAAGAAATGACGAGAGTAGATTTGGCTTCTTCTGCCATTCTGCTCTAGAGTTTCTCCGCCAAAATGGATCTTCTCCTGTAAGTGCAAGATTTGTTCCATAAGATTTAAGCTTTTATTTCGAAAATGGGTGCAAGAGATCTGCCCCTTTGATTATAGTGTAGGAAAAGATTTAAGTTTTTTGTACCATGCCATTTTCTCCGTTCTCGTACTTGGCCATGAACTAATCACAATTTATATGTGAACTCATCTTAAAAGAACTAATGAGTCAATTTTCCAGTTCTGTTCATCACAAATTGATTCCAAGCAGCAGCTAGTTTTTGCTATATCGCTGAACGTTTGAACCATCACTGTTCACAGATTTTGTACTGTTACCTTTTTTTTTTTTTTTTGCTTCCACCCTTCTCATACACAAGTGCTGTCATTCTGACAGGATATTATACATTGTCATGATTGGTCAAGTGCTCCAGTTGCTTGGCTATTCAAGGAACAATATGCTCAAAATGGACTGTCAAATGGGCGGGTTGTATTTACCATCCACAACCTTGAATTTGGTGCACATCACATCGGCAAAGCAATGGCACGTTGTGATAAGGCTACAACTGTGAGTGACCTGGCCGTGTTCTGTTTTTACTATCGTGTTTCTTTTTCAAATTCTTCAAGATACCATTTTCTATGTGAACGTATCACTAATGTGTGCTTCTCATTGTCTGTTTTTAACTGTTTTGGCCATAACTTGCAGGTTTCATATACGTATTCAAGGGAAGTGTCAGGACATGGTGCTATTGCCCCTCACTTTTCCAAATTCCACGGTATTCGTAACGGAATTGATCCAGATATTTGGGATCCATACAGTGACAATTTTATCCCGGTATATTAATCACCATTCAGTATATTCATTCATATTCCATAACTGTGCATTTACTATCTTCTTGGATCTGTAAAGTGTATAAAGAGTGCATGTCTAGTTAAGAAGTTGATTATCTGCAGCTAATTTGATTAGTAGCATACATATGCTTATATTCGCTGTTGATCAAATATCCAATTCTTTGATTTAGTAGTTGTACGGGTATTTGCTCACTTAACATTTTTTTGGGGTGTTTCTTTAAGGTCCACTATACCTCTGAGAATGTTGTTGAGGGCAAGAGTGCTGCCAAAAAGGCATTGCAACAGAGGCTTGGACTACAGCAAACTGATACCCCTGTTGTTGGAATTATCAGTCGTCTGACAGTCCAGAAGGGAATTCACCTTATCAAACATGCAATTTATCGAACTCTTGAACGCAATGGGCAGGTCTATATCTTGCTCATAGATGCCACACTGTTTGATGCATATGTTTCTTGCCATCTATCTGTTATTCTATTTTTCAATACTGAAACACATTGGCTTTCTTAAATAGGTGGTTTTACTAGGCTCAGCTCCAGATCATCGCATACAAGGTGACTTTACCAACTTAGCTAGTAAACTGCATGGCGAATACCATGGTCGTGTAAAGCTTTGTTTAACCTATGATGAGCCACTATCTCATTTGGTAAGTTTCACACTCTACCAATAGCAACTTATGTTAGAACTGGAAAACTGATTTATAGTTGTGTACTAAATCTATGGTTCTACTGTATTGTAGATTTATGCTGGTGCCGACTTCATCCTTGTTCCTTCCATGTTTGAACCTTGTGGTTTAACCCAGCTTACTGCTATGCGTTATGGATCTATCCCAATAGTTCGGAAAACTGGAGGTGCGTTGTCATCTTGATATCTCCCTGACATTGCATTGCCTTTTGGTATTTCTAGCATCGATAAAAGATACGCCGAGCATTATGCAGGCCTTTATGACACCGTTTTTGACGTCGACGATGATAAGGATCGAGCTCGAGAACAAGGTCTTGAGCCAAACGGGTTCAGTTTCGAAGGAGCTGACAGCAACGGTGTGGATTACGCCCTTGACAGGTAAGTATAACCCATAGGAGTTAACACAAATTTTAATGCTACGACGTTAATAATTCATTCTTTTGCTATCCAATTTCAGAGCGATCACCACATGGTATGATGCTCGCGATTGGTTCCACTCCCTCTGCAAGAGGGTGATGGAGCAAGATTGGACATGGAACCGACCTGCTCTGGACTATATGGAATTGTACCATTCCGCTCGCAAGAACTGAGACCTTTCTAGCCCCAAGAACACATGGATTTTGGGAAGTAGGTTTCCCCAGGTTTCTGGGACATGCCGGCATCCCAGTACATACCCTTTCTCTGGGTACCATTCTTTAGACAGAAAGAAAATGAGGAGAATCCAATCCCGGCTTCTACATTGATCTCCAGCGTCAGTAAGAGATCAATTAATCTTTCCGTTATCCTGCGGTTGTGAGTTCGCCATCGTACGGCGCCCGTGCGTATGTGACATGCAGGAAGCTCATCGTGCTTAAAGCCAGTTTTGCAAACATGTACCATGCAAATATGTTCCATTTTACGATTCTGCAGTGTTTCGGATGTACATATGTAAGGCAGATTAGATTTGTAGGGCGGATGTTCTCTCTGGTTTATTTTCTGCTCACTCGGAGAAGGAATGAAGTGCGAGCAGAATGGCATGTGACGGCCTGTGTAGCTTTTTAATTTCTCGTGCTGACATCTCAAAATTGATTTCAAATTGGCAGCGTGAACCAAACCATCAATTGAATACTCTAAAAGTTTCAAAGTTTTTAAGCCAATATCATCCATGCTCATTATATTACTGGCATTATTTTGTATACAATCATTAGTCACACACATATCAAACACAAATCCGTCTCTCCATCTGGGTTCACATGTATAGATGATAAATATACGTCCACGGTTCACGTTGTGCTTCACTTAGCGTAGCCGATGCTGACGCCGGCGACGGTGACCGAATCGCAGCCACACCTCGGCACGATCGACACGACGATCGTCTTGTCGCCGTCGGCGCCGATGTCGTCCAGCAAGTCGCATATGCCGAACCTCGCCTCCGTCTTCCTCGGCGACAGCTGCCCCTCGCGGTGGATCCCGTGCGGCGCCAGCGCGACGCTGCCGGCGCACGTCGCCGCGCACGTCGCCGCGCCGTCCCCGCTCTCGGGCGCGTTCACGAACACGTCGAACTTGACGTACGTGGAGTGGTCGGGGATCTCGACCTCCTCCTCCTCCTCCTTCTCCTCGCGGCTCCTCGACGCCCTGGGCCTCGTCACGGCCACCCGCACGGTCTTGTCCAGGGTCGCCGGGAACGCGCCGGCCGCGGGCGCCGGCGTGCTGGCTGCTCCCGTGGACGGCTTGGCGTTCAGCCACGGGAGACCCACGTCCTGGTACGTGAAGCGCAGCGCCGACGGGTCGAGGGTGTCGCGGACGCGGACGCGGACGAGGCGGGCCTCCTCGTCGTAGAAGAAGAAGCTGGCGTCGAGCCAGTCGGGGTCGGTGAAGTCGGTGTCGCCGGGGAAGAGGAGGCCGCGGCGGATGTGCCACATGCGGTCGACGTTGCCGTGGTGCGCGAAGAACACCGGGTCGCGCGCCGCCGAGTAGAAGATGCCCATGTCCTCGCCGTTCGGCTGCCTCGGGTCGCCGGTCCATCTGTGGACGGGGTTGTGCGGCACGCTCTCGACGGTGCCCGCCCCCGGCTCCGGCTGGTCGCCGGCGCGGTACGGCTGCCCCATGAACAGCTCCGCCTTCCTAGCTCCCGAAATCATCTGAAACATCATAAAATTTTGTTCGTCCAATCTTAACTCATAAGTCGATTAATTTGGAGTTTTTGTCATCTATTATTATTTATATCAAAATTTGTATGTGATTACTGGCCTGGCGGTACATGATGTTGAGGTTCTGATCGATCAGCTGGTCTTTCGGGATGTTCGTGTCGGTTCCACTGTAGTCGAGGTCGAGCGGGAACGGTGGCAGGTGAGCCTGGTTGCGCCGCGGGTCGTACAGCGGCGACCACCTGTTGGCGTACATCGCGGGGAACGACATGCCGTCCGGCGCGTCCCAGTTCCAGAACGGCAGCGCGAACGTCTCGTCGCCGATCAGCTTGCCCAGTATCCTCTCATGGAAGTACAGGTACATCCTGCACGTACGTTCACACGCATGCGTCCAGCGTTCACAGAATCTCATGAGCCACTCAAATAATCCTCTCATTTTTACATGTCAAGTAAAAAGTCATCAAAAAAATTAAAAAAATATAGCAGTATAGATCAATATTACATCAATATATAATATGTTATTTCACAAACATACAAATTCAAATTCAACTTATACAAGTAGAAACAAAAATAACAAATTTAACTGCGTAAATCACGGTCAAATTTGTTGTTTTTGTTTCGAATTGTATAAGTCGAATTTTAACTCGTATGTTTGCGAAAAAGATATACCGTATATTGATCTATCTTGACAAATTTTTTAAATTTTTTGATAACTTTTTGAATGACATGTACAAAATAAGAGGAAGTCGTAAAAAATCCACTCCCCATATATATCATGCATGCAACTGTACACGAACAACGCGAGACGTGAACGTGATGCAGCCATGTTGTCACAATGTCACGTACCTGTGCCATGGGAAGAAGAGCCAGCAGCTGTGTATCTGGATCTCCAAGCCGGGGAAGCCGACCTGGTCGTACGCGCCGTCGCAGTAGGCGCAGTGGACGCGCCACTGCTGCTCGAAGCTGCGGGGGTCGTCGGCGGGGAGCTTCTTCATGAGCGACACGGCCCTCTCGTACTTGGCCAGGTACGCCCTGTCCGCCAGGTGAGCCGCCGGCCGCACGCGGAGCGGCGAGGACGCCGGCGGCGGCGCGAAGTCGACGGCGACGGTGCCGGCGCTGTACGTCGGGCAGCAGTTGATCGCCGGCGCCGTGGCGGGGACGTCCACGGGCTGGTGGCAGTCGCCGAGGTCCGGGGCCTGGATGGGCGCCGCGAGCGCGCCGCCGCCGCCCTGCGTGGCCACCATGGCGGCCGCGCCGCTGATGCCGAGGAGCACGTCGCGGCGGTCGACCCTGCAGGACACGTTCCGCGGCTTCCACCCCTTCGTCTTGCGGTGCAAGAGCAGGTTGTTGTAGCGAAGGGTACTCTGGAGGTTGGTGATGCACGGCGGCGGCGGCGGCGGCGCCATGCGAGGCGTAGCGGTTGTTCCTGGTGCTACGTTGATGCTCTCCATGGCGGCACTGCGCTGTGAACTTGCACTTGCAAAGTTGCAATAGCGTGTGTATTTATAGGGCAATGTGTATACTACTATACTGTAGTAGCCCACTGGTTGTTTGGTACTTTGGTGTGACCGTTTGCAGGGCCGCGCACTAACAATTTGGGAGACTGACTATTATAAAATAGGATCTTATTCATAAAAAATACTAATCACACATATTCCCTCCATCCCAAAATATAAGTATTTTTAGACTCTAACAAGATTTCCGAGATGTTACTTTAACTAACAATATCTATAAAAGTAGGATGTTTTAAATAAAAAGGTTATATATTATAATAATTTGTTTAATGATACATCTAGTAACATCAATTTTATATGAGTGATATTTTTTTCTATTAATAGTTAGAGTTGAAAATGTTTGATCTATCACTATACTAAAAATGCTTATATTCTAAGACGAAGGGAGTAATGTACCAAGACTGTATAATTTTTTAATATATTGGAATGGGTCTCTACACTACCACTGCTCTTTGATTAATCTTCATGACAACTAGTGGCCCTCCAACTATACATTAGGAAAACTAGTATCAATCTAATGCTTAGCTATTGTTGTAGTAATTAAGTTTCTCACTAAATAGAAAATTGAGATATGATTCTTATTACCTGGAAAACACATTCTTATCATAGTCACGGAATACAGTTCATCTTATCATCGAACATTTATTGGAGCAGAGAGAAAATAATTCTTTCTACTCGATTCAGTGGAACAGAAAGAGGAAATTTGAAAAAACGAAGTGAAATTAAAAGATCACATCGAAATATATTAATTAAAATAGGAACACACACCGATCACCTTCTACTGGTGTCGTGTCACACTGTCACTTTGCTACATCTCTACCTAGTGCACATTAGCACCACATATACCAAGTCAAACATATATCCGTCACTTAAGCAATCCCGTTGAGAGATATCATGTCAGCTCGAAGTAGTTCAGAGATTAACCTTTCACCCAGCGGCTCGAAATTGTCAAGTGAACCAGTTAATAACTATGCACCCGTCAACAACAGTTTCACTGTCGTTACGCAAATCGGAAAGCTCCCAAACGACCTGACCTACGAGAGCGTTGGGCGAAACACTCCATCATCCTGTGCGTGAATCGTCTGAATATACACGCAATTCATCCGGCCAACTCCGCTACGGAATCACGGATATGCATGGATGATGGAGGCAGTTCATCCCAGGTCAACTAACCCTTGCCTAAAACGGCCGGAGTTTCAGTTCAGGCCGGGCGGCGTACGTCGTTTGGACGCTGCAACTAGATGACTGATGACTTGTCGGCGTCGTTCCGCCGTCCCCGGCGAAAAAAATGGATGGCTGACAAAAACTGCGACGGTGAAGAACGAGCGAACGTCGTTGATCATATCGGGTCCTTTACCATAATAACAATATCATTAGAGACACTGATATGTGAAACAATAGGAGAGTAAGACTTATTCCCTCCGTTCTATAATATAAGAGATGTGACATATCCTAGCACTATGAATCTAGACGGGCTCTCTATACAGATTCATGTATTAGAATGTGTCATACTCCTTCCGTTTCAAAATGTTTGACACCGTTGACTTTTTAGTACATGTTTAACCATTCGTCTTATTCAAAAAATTTTAAGTAATTATTTATTCTTTTCATATCATTTGATTTATTGTTAAATATACTTTCATGTACACATATAATTTTACATATTTCACAAATTTTTTGAATAAGACGAACGGTCAAACATGTGCTAAAAAGTCAACGATGTCAAATATTTTAAAACGGAGGGAGTATTTCTTTAAAATCTCTTATATTATGGAACGAAGGAAGTACATAACAGTCATTGTAATGATAGTGATATTATGTTAGAGGATCCTCACCCAATCAGATCAGATGTATGCGATGTGTCAAACACGTGGCAGCAACACTTATAGAGCTATTTTGGTTTGAAGCCGTACCAAAATTTTGGTATTGCCAAATCTTGGGCTAGTTTTGGCACTACCAAAAATTTTGGTAGGGCTATGTTGTTTCTAACTCTATTGAATTAGTAAGATTTAACCTCAATCTAAATAGCTAACAAGTACTACAACACTACTACCAAATAATTGGTAGGGCAAGAATTGGTTTTAATCCAAACATACCTTTAAGTTCTTAAAGGTTGACATAAACGGGGTTGGTGTGCAGTGTGCTCTGCCTCGTTGCCCTGATGGCTTGTTTGGGCCTCAGACTGGTCCTTCCACATGTATAGGCCAGGAGATTGAACTTAAATTTTGGCCCATATACATAAAGAGAGAATTACTTATATACCACTAGAATTTGACCAGTTCCCTTATATGACACTTAAAATTGGCTTCTCTCTAGTTCAAGTTTTTCCAACCTTTTATGCAACTCCCACCACTATAGTGTTAGTTGACTGTTAGTAAAGGATAGTTTTTTTTCGTAAATGACCAATATGCCCTCTCAACTAAAAAATGTGTAAACTTCAAAAAATCATAACTAATTTATTTTAAATCTTTTTTGAGTGAACAAAATTTTGTCAGAACTAGTGAAAAATGCTCTTTATATTAAAAATATTGTTGGAAAACTGCATGATTCATGCTTACATTGAAAATTTATTTGTGATGGTAATGGCTAAAATTGCATGTGATGCAGAAAAAAATCAATTTTCATATGTTGTATCCAGTAGTTATATTAGTACTAAAATACCTATTATTGGTTGTATACTAATTCTTAAGGGCAATTGCGTCTTTTTACAATGAAGTTAACGGTCAACTGACGGTGGACTGACGGCAATAGCATAAAAGGGAGGAGAAACTTGAACCGATGGCATAAAAGGGAGAAGTCAATTTAAAGTGGCATATAAGAAAACCGGTTAATTTAGAGTGGCATATAAGGAATTCTCTCATACATAAATGGTCTGGGAGTGTGGCCCATCCGAACGAGGCCTGACTAGCGAAAAGGATAGAGCACTGCAGTCAGCATAGAGAATAAGAGAGTGGGCCTAGAATTGCTGCTGAATGGATCGAGCTGGGCCGAGCCAGGTCATCGTTGACACTCCTCGTGAACTTAAGGAAAAAGTGTATTTCAAATCCTTCAACTATGGTCGAATTTAATTCACATCTCTCAACTGTAAAACCATATATATGTTATCCTCTAAATTTTTAAAACGGTGCAAATAAAATCACTCGACAATATTATATTGATCCAGTTTTTTAGTTTTCAATAAAAAAAGTTAGATGAAACCCTCGTATAAGTCTCTCGAACAAAAATAAAGAAAAATAGTAGAACCTTTTTTCCTCTCCCTCCCTCCAGTCTCTCTCCCCTTAATTTTCTCAACACCTCCTAGGGGGTGGCATTGAGGGACCTAGGGGATAAGAGGATATCATTGCCATGGAACCGAGGAGATCTGTCTGACGGTAGAGGTGGGCATTAGGGCCAGGATGATATCATGATAGAGATGGGTTCAGGACTCCACACCTTGGGCACTATAGCAGTGTGTCCCAGCCTCATCAAGAAACCCAAGTATCAACGTAGGAAAAAAAATGATGCTCCGATATCCATAGTTCGTGTAGCTTTAGGTGGGCCCACCACCATTGTTTTAGGTTGGCCCCACCACGAAAATTACTATCATCGTCATCTCCTTCCTGGAGCAACATCTCCCACACCCACCTCCCCAACCTCCGCCGCTTGTTCCCCATTTCTCTCTCTTGTCCTCTCCCTCACTTGGCTTCCCACGACGGTGCCTCCCGCCCCCTCCTCCTCTCCGTCCTCTCCCATGGCGACGACTCCCCCGCCCCCCCTCTCCTCCCACCGGCGCCGCTTGGGAGAAGACGCGGCGGCACCGGGCCCTCTCCCCTTCCTCTCCCTAGCGGATCTGTTGGCAGCGAGGGTGATGACAGCGAGCGCCTCTCCCCTTCCTCTCCGGACTTCTCCCTCGGCTATCCCGAGCCCACGCGGTGGCGACGGCCTTCCTGAGTCTCCAGTCAATGCCGCCGTCAGTCCCCTCCTCAGGTGACACAGATCGGGAGCTCGGCCGACGGCAGCTTCCTCGACAGTGGCATCATCGTTCTCTACTGCTCAATGGTGGCGGAAATATTGGAGGAGAGGAGCTGAAGCTTCCTACCCCTTTCCGAAGGCGCGACATATATCTTCTTGCTTTTTTTTGGCAATGCTAGCTGACCGGGAACAAGTGTCTCTCTTTTAATGTGCGGGCTTTAGGTGAGTAGCATCAGAGGCAAACATGGCACCGTATTTTTCAACGTTTCATGCTCGGGCTGAATGACAAATCGGCGCACCGTAAACACCCATAAGTAGTAACAACGGCGTTTTAGGCATAGGGATGAGCAGGGGAGTGGTCAACGCTCCCCTACGAGCTGTGCTGCTGCTTGGTCGCGGGTGCTCGGAGTCAGTTCCGTTATTATGGGCGGTCGCTAACCAAGTCACAACCCCCACCACCACCACCACCACCACCACCTTGAAGCAGAAGCTGCACACCGTTTAGATCACGCAAAAATTGAAAGTTTGGTTGAAATTGGAACGATGTGATGAAAAAATTAGAAATTTATGTGTGTAAAAAAGTTTCGATGTAATGGAAAAATTAAAAGTTTGAAAAAAAAGTTTAGAACTAAACAAGGCCCAAGTCGCCGGATCTCACTGGAGCCGAATGGGTTCAGTTTCGAAGGAGCTGACAACAATGGCATTACGGCTACTCCATCGAAGTACGCCCTTGACAGGCAAGTACAACGTTAAACATTCCTTCATTAGCCATCCAATGGCTTTTGTCCTGCTATTGCAAATTCGCGACCATGCGACGCCCCGTACGGATGGACATGCTGATTCTGCCCAAAGTTCTGCGATTCTGCAGTCTCAGATCTACTACATGTTACCCCTTAAAAAAAAGTGGATTAAGTCTTGGATATTCATGTCACGCTTTTCAAACTATTAAACGGCACGTTTTCTGTGAAAATTTTCTATATGAAAATTGTTCTAAAATTTTCTATCAGAATAATCCATTTTTCAAGTTCGCAATAATTAAAACTCAATTAATCACACGTTATTACCAACTCGTTTTGTGTGAAACACTTCATTTTCATCTTTATCTTTATCTTCATATTCAGGGGATTCAAACACCACCTCTGTAACTCAAAGATTAGATTCTTTGGACGCAGGCCCGGCTTAGAGCTACGGCGAGGAGTGCGACGGCCTAGGGCCCAACGTAAGTAGGGGCCCAAGATCAGGTAAGTAAGTACGAACTGGTATGCCGTATACGTGCGTTTACCTTTAGAAACTACATACGTATATACTGCGAGCAAATGCGTGGCGATTGTTTGTGGTGACGGAGCAACCGTGTCCAACTGATCACGTCATTGCTGCCTCCGTGGAAACATGACCTCACAACCTTCAGTTTTCAGGTACTATTCTTGAGTGAGTTTGTATTCAAGTAAGAAGTAACTAAGGAGTATGTCTCTTAACTATCTCATCTGCTCGGTGAAAGGCCAAATTACCACGAGAACATACTATGTTTAGGCCCTATGACAAGGCTTGGCTGTGTGCTAAGTTGAGAAGAATGTGATGGATAATATTAATCTCATTACATTTTTTAAAGATTTTGCATCAAAAATGTTTAAAGGAGTGTATTTTTTTCGTGAGAAGCCATGGATATTTGTAATCTCTTTATTTGTGAGGTATTATTGATAGAGTCGTTAGACAGTTAGAGTTTGACCTTTATTCAAGGTATTCATATTAGCTCCATTTTGATGTTCTTTAGTTATATACAGAAGATGTTCAATGTTTATTTCATCAGAAAATATATGGTTTAAAAATATATAAATAGAAAACACATATTAAGAGCCTACACCATCAAGCTCGCCCTAAGGCCCTTCAAATTGTAGAGCCGGCCCTGTTTGGACGGATGCTCTCTTTAGCTTATCTTCTACCCATCTTAAGAGCGTGCATGCCTAATGGCATGCCATCTGATCTCTGAAGCCTTAATTCCTCGGGTTGTTATCTGAAAAAATGATTTCAAATTGGCAGCGGTTACCAAATCATCAGTTCATGCACGCTGATGCACGCATTATTTTTATACAATCATATCCTATAATACTATATAAGTGATCCTTACTTAGTGTAGTTATTAGCAATTCTCTTTGTTCTTATGCTTCCACGTCACCACCCTCTTTTCTTTCAGCCATTCGATGTTAATTAAGCGTCTAGCGTCACATGCTAGGAACGTTGCACCCAACGCTACATGCATTCCGCACGCTTGCCGCTGCCGTCTTCAATTCTATCAGGGAATGATACGTTTTCTGCCGCAGCTCGATGATTAATGACATACGGGTAACTAATGTGGCCGAAACTGCCAAGGATCCAAGTAGTCCAATACGATATAAGTGATTGCACTACCGTTTTCCCCAAGAGGAGCTCAAAAGTCATGTCTATCCTATAAAACAGAAGCATATTCATTCAGGGAAAGGGGTTACAAGTTCAATCGATTGGATGTTCCTCTCATCACCTTGATCATCGTTATCCCTAAAATCCTAACTACCACCGGTGGGCATTGAGGTTGCCATGCTTGCAAAGTCTGGGAGCTTCGCTCAAGTTGCCTCATGTAGATCAACATCACATCGCCGATCAATCACCGGTCAAATTGCAATTTCCTTCTGACTTGGGCAGTTGGGGGTACAAAATTGAAGGAGATAATCTCTGTAATCATATTCTATTTATTTCTACCGGATATATCAACTTTACCGATGTACAAATACATGGTAACAATATCCCTTTCTGTTGCATTAGTTTATTTTTAAAAGAAAAAAACAAAAGGTTGTTATACATATATTAGCTAGATTGTTGTTTGTCTTCACCACTATATATATGCAGCTAAGTAAGGCCGACAACATCATTTCTGATCACTATCGGCTAAATCGTCCATTCGGTCTGGTCAGATAAGACATGAGAGGTGCTATTTTACACCGCGGCCCTTTTGTTAATTATTATTTTACAATTTTTAAGTTGGTTTCCTTGCAAATTATATATTCTCAATCCATTAATTTGAACTGTTTGAACTGAGTTTTTTATTTGACAATCGATTATAACAAAAGCCAGTACTGATCGAGACCAAATTACATCATGTATAGTTTTTATCATTGATCAATCATCAACGATGTGGACCATCAAGTTTTTCATTGAGTTTTATGCCTTACACTCAATTGGATTCATACCTACTTTGTTATTTGGCTTTTCTTTTGTAATGATATTAATTTAATCCTGTAAGGCAGTTAAACAAGATGTTAGCGGTAGTTCAACACGATGTTAGCGGCGGTTCAACAAGTTCACATCTCTAAAATGATTTGTATATCCCGCAGCAACGCGCGGGGTATCATTTTTTAATGACAGACCCACACGCGCCTACACCATTACACACGCAACATCACACTCATACAATCATTAATCACACGTCACACATTGTACATAAACGTATTCTTACGTTCACGTTGTACTTCACTTAGCGTACGTAGCCGATGCTGACGCCCGAGACTCTGACCGAATCGCAGCCGGACCTCGGCACGATCGAGACGACGATCGTCTTGTGGCCGTCGGCGCCGATATCTTCGAGCAAGTCGGAGATGCCGAACCTCGCCACCGTCTTTCTCGGAGAACGCTTCCTCTCCTCGCGGTGGACCCCGTGTGGCGTCAGCGCGACGCGACGTCGGCGTTCTCGGGCGCGTTCACGAACACGTCGAACTTAACGTACGCGGAGTGGTCGGGGACCTCGATCCCCTCGATGACAGGCGCCTCCTCCTCGGCGTCCTTCTCCTTGCGGCTCCTCGACGTCTTGGGCCTCGTCAAGGCCACCCGCACGGTCTTGTCCAGGGTCCCCGGCAGGGCGCCGGCGGGTCCCGTGGACGGCTTGGCGTTCAGCCACGGCAGGGGGCCAACGTCCTGGTACGTGTACCGCAGCGCGGCCTCGTCGAGGGAGTCGCGGACGCGAACGCGGACTAGGCGGGCCTCCTCGTCGTAGAACAGGAAGGTCGCGTCGAGCCAGTCGGGGTCGGTGAAGTCGGTGTCGCGGGGGAAGAGGCCGTGGCGAATGTACCACATGCGGTCGACGTTGCCGTGGTGCGCGAAGAACACCGGGTCGCGCGCCGCCGAGTAGAACATGCCCATGTCCTCGCCGTTCGGCTGCCTCGGGTCGCCGGTCCAGTTGTGGACGGTGTTGTGCAGCACGAACTCGACGGTGCCCGCCCCCGGTTTCGGCTGGTCGCCGGCGCTGTACGGATGTCCCATGAACAGCTCTTTCTTCCTAGCCCCCGAAATCATCTGATACATCATAAATTATACTGTTCATATTAGACACGCGATCCAATTTAAAGTCGACTAATTAATTTGGAGTTTGCTATCTACGGTTTTCAGTAGCTACTTCAATTAATTCCTAGTTTGTGTCAAACTGTGTATGTGATTACTGGCCTGGCGGTACATGATCTTGAGGTTCTGATCGATCAGCTGATCTTCCGGGATGGTTGGGTCGTGTGGAGATTATGGATATCCCATATCTACACGGCGATGATATTTGGACTGAATATAGGATACCGAATATAGATAGAATATCTTATGTGTATCCTGGGTTTGTTTCTTAACTTGTACATCAAGGAAACACCTTGAGACTTAGTCGGTCACGACTGTATTTTATCTGTATTTACATATTCCGTTAGGGATATAGATTATCTTTTGTAACACGGACTCTTTCCCATATATAAGGGGGGTCCGGGTGCCTCTAGGGGCGGAGGTTGGATTTTCTCCAAATCATACAATCAATAACACACTCGGCGGATTCATCCCCGGACAGGAGTAGGGTATTACTTCTTTTGTAAGAAGGCCTGAACCTGTATAAATCCTTTGTCTCCAAACCCATACACTTTCCTAGCTTGATAGCCACCCCCTTTTATTATTGCCGAAATCTAGTTTCGACAGTTGGCGCGCCAGGTAGGGGTAGCGTCAAGCTTTTCGCCGATCAGTGCAATGGGTTTCGTCTCCGGCATCGACGACCTCGTCTTCCCGCCCGGGCAGACGTTTCGGTTCGGCAGCCTCGACTTCGTCACCAACAACTTCGGCAAGATTTCTCTCCTCGACTCGGAATCAGACCAGTCGGGAGAGAACCGGATTTCGGTCCCGTTTGGATTCCCGAACGCGGCTGAAAGCTACTTCAAGACCATCTCAACCGAGTCGGCTTCAAACCACTCGGCCGAGATCGCATCTTCTCCAACGACACCAGATCAAGATGATGGGGCTTACCCACCAGTCCTGATGAAGCTCCCCGACGATTTAGCGGCCGTTTCCACCACGACAACGTCTTCATCCCGTAGGCCTAGGCGGAAGTCGGCTTCAACACCGATTTCGCCTAGCTTCAGGGAAGTCGGCGTCATCCTCCAACCACTCGGCACGGTTTCGACGGATCAGCTGGATGACTACAACAGCTCTCCCACCGTCGACTCACGTCCTACTGACATCGTGGAGTACGACGAATTTAGTTCTCGCTACAACGACTTCGACGACTTCGACGGAAGCCTTGATGACAACTACACCCCTCTCTACTTTGGCGTTTTCATGGCCAATAATGAGACGGAGGAGCAACGCCAAGCCTGGGAGACCGAAGAACGTCGCCGACTGGAGGAGGAGCATCAAGCACAAGAACAAGAACGGCTACGGCGTGAGCAGCAGGACCGTGAGCGGACCGCGAAGGAGGCTGAGGATCGACGTCAGCGAGCTTTGGAAGCAGGGCGCCGAGCGCGTGATCTCATCGACCAGCAAGATGTCGAAGGGACACCGGTTTTCCGCACCCCTCAACAGAATGCGGTTGCCGCGATCACCCTTCTCGACACCCTCCTCAACCAAAACGAGCTCAATCAATCCGATCACGTCGTCAACATCTTGAACCAGACGAAGACCATGATTGCGGCTTCGGTCCCAGTTAACTCCGAAAGCGTCCACACGCCGACTGGCAGCCGAGTCCCCCACTTCCGATCTCATGACTACCGTCATCCAAGCCTCAGCATCACCGGCGCGGGATCCAATCGCAGGAGCAGGGGTCACGACGAGCGGTCCATTCACTCACCTCCCGACCAATATAGGGAGCGCCGAGTGGAACGGCCTCGCTCACCACCTCGTCGCCGCCCCGTCGATCTTCGCGACACAATCATACAGCGCCGAGCAGCTCGAGGCCATCATCATTCGCCGAACCGCCACGACGACGACCTTGACGGAGTAGCAGCCTTCACCGACGACCTGCGTCGAGTGGATTGGCCAGCCGGCTTCAAGCCGACTGGAATAGAGAAGTACGACGGTACCACTAACCCAGAATCGTGGCTTACCGTCTACGGTCTCGCAATCCGCGCAGCAGGAGGAGACAACAAGGCCATGGCGAACTATTTACCAGTGGCTTTAGCGGATTCGGCCCGATCTTGGCTCCATGGATTACCCCGTGGTACAATTGGATCTTGGGCTGAATTACGCGACCACTTCATCGCCAACTTCCAAGGCACCTTTGAGCGACCCGGCACACAATACGACCTCTACAACGTTATTCAGAAGTCCGGAGAATCTCTTCGAGATTACATCCGGCGATTTTCTGAGCAACGTAACAAGATCTCCGACATCACCGATGACGTCATCATTGCCGCATTCACCAAAGGGATTCGCCACGAAGAATTGGTCGGCAAGTTCGGGCGTAAGCCCCCCATGACAGTCAAGCTTATGTTTGAAAAAGCCAACGAGTACGCCAAGGCTGAAGACGCCGTCACCGCATCAAAGCAGTCGGGTCCCAGTTGGAAGCAAAACAAGGGTACGCCGGCTACGGGAGGAGGTGGAAGTAACAATCATAAGGACCGCAAGCGTAAGCCTGCGGAACTTGTTGCAACCGCCAGTCACTCTTCTCGACAGCGTTCGCGCGTCAACACGTTCGACAAGATCATGAACTCCCAATGCTCGCACCATCCTAACTCCAACCACGTGGCCAAAGATTGTTTCGTCTACAAGCAATTCGCGGATCAATACACCAAGACTGCACGGAAGAATTCTGACGAAGAACAAAGCACGTCGAGGAAGAAGGACGACGGCGACACCCCGGCAGGTTTTCAAGATCACCGCAAGGAGCTCAATCATATCTTCGGCGGCCCCCTGGCTTATGAGTCTAAACGGAAGCAGAAGTTGACTGAACGGGAGATCAATGCTGTTCAGCCCGACACGCCCCAATATCTTCGATGGTCAGAGATCGCAATCAAGTTTGACCGCTCGGATCATCCTGACCGAGTGGTCCACCCGGGGCGGTACCCCCTGGTACTAGACCCAGTGGTCCGTAATGTCAAGCTTCGCAGAACCCTCATCGACGGTGGCAGTGCACTCAATATCCTCTTCGCCAAGACCCTGGATGATATGCAGATCCCTCACTCCGAGTTAAAACCAAGCAATGCGCCTTTTCACGGAGTGATTCCAGGATTATCCGCAACTCCACTCGGCCAGATCACCCTCCCAGTCACTTTTGGCACTCGGGAAAACTTTCGCACAGAGAACATCAGCTTTGAAGTCGCTGATTTCGAGACAGCATACCATGCCATACTCGGACGCCCGGCGTTAGCCAAGTTCATGGCCGTCCCGCACTACACTTACATGATGATGAAGATGCCTGGTCCCCGAGGAGTCCTATCCCTACGGAGTGACATCAAGCAAGCCGTCACATGCGACAAGGAGAGTTGCGACATGGCCCAAACTCGCGAGATGGCGTCTGCCCGAGAGGATATCCGACTGGCTGCAGCCACGGCGAGCGAAGGAGAAGAGCCCGCTACCAAGATTTCAAAGAGTGGAGAAAGCGAAGCCAAGACTAAGAAGATTCCCCTAGATCCCTCTGATCCTGCTAAAACTGCTGTAATAGGCGCCGAGTTAGATTGTAAATAGGAAAGCGCGCTCATCACCTTTCTTCAGAACAATAAAGATATCTTTGCGTGGAAACCATCTGATATGCCCGGTATTCCTAGAGAGGTGATTGAGCATTCCTTACATGTCAAAGAAGACGCCAAGCCTATCAAACAACGACTCCGCCGATTTGCACAAGACAGGAAAGACGCGATCAAGGAGGAATTAACCAAGCTGTTAGCAGCAGGCTTCATCAAAGAAGTCCTTCATCCCGACTGGCTGGCAAACCCGGTTCTAGTTCGGAAGAAAACAGGGCAATGGCGCATGTGTGTTGATTATACCGACCTCAACAAATCCTGCCCTAAAGATCCTTTTGGGTTGCCTCGCATTGACCAGGTAGTTGACTCGACCGCCGGCCGTGAGCTTCTCAGTTTTTTGGATTGCTACTCGGGGTATCATCAGATCCGACTGAAGGAATCCGACTGCTTGAAGACTTCATTCATCACGCCTTTTGGGGCATACTGCTACGTCACCATGCCGTTCGGACTAAAAAACGCAGGAGCAACTTATCAACGCATGATTCAGAGATGCTTCTCAACGCAGATCGGCCGCAACGTTGAAGCCTATGTGGATGACGTAGTCGTCAAGACCAAGCAAAAGGATGATTTGATCTCGGATCTAGAAGAAACCTTTGCGAGCATCCGTGCTTTCAGGATGAAATTGAACCCTGAAAAGTGCACCTTCGGAGTACCGTCAGGGAAGCTGGTTGGCTTTATGGTGTCTCATAGGGGCATCCAAGCCAACCCGGAGAAAGTTACTGCTATCCTCAACATGAAACCGCCAAGTACCCAGAAAGATGTTCAGAAGCTGACTGGATGCATGGCGGCGCTCAGCCGATTTGTTTCACGACTTGGCGAGCGGGGGATGCCCTTCTTTAAGCTGCTGAAGAAAACAGATAACTTCCAGTGGGGACCCGAAGCACAGAAGGCCTTCGAAGATTTCAAGAAACTCCTCACTGAGCCACCAGTCTTAGCCTCACCACACCCGCAGGAGCCGTTGTTGCTGTATGTATCAGCCACCTCCCAGGTTGTGAGCACAGTCTTGGTTGTTGAACGCGAGGAAGAAGGCCATGTCCAGAAAGTCCAACGACCGATTTATTTTGTCAGCGAGGTCCTAGCCGACTCCAAAACGAGGTACCCTCAGGTTCAGAAGCTGTTATATGGTATTCTAATTACTACCAGGAAGCTATCTCACTACTTTCAAGGTCACTCGGTAACGGTGGTCACATCATTTCCACTCGGTGATATACTGCACAACCGCGAAGCAAACGGACGTATTGCTAAGTGGGCTTTGGAGTTGATGTCTTTGGACATATCATTCAAGCCCCGAATTTCAATCAAGTCCCAAGCGTTAGCTGATTTTGTCGCCGAATGGACCGAGTGCCAGGAGGATACCCCCGCGGAGAACATGGAGCACTGGACCATGCATTTTGACGGATCCAAACGACTTTCGGGCACTGGAGCAGGAGTGGTTTTGATTTCCCCAACTGGAGAAAGATTGAGCTACGTGCTTTGGATACATTTTTCGGCGTCCCACAACGTCGCCGAATATGAGG